AGCATAACCCCCCCAACCCCCGGGGGGAAAATACTCAAACACCCCCGCCCCCCCAGGGGGGGGAGCCCAATGCCCGATCTCCGGGAAACGTGGGGGAAAAGGCTCCTCAAAATGGGCAATTTGGGGCGGCGGCCCCGGCTGTTTATTTTCATCAACGGCCCCATCGGGGGGAAGTTTTTCCGAAACCCCCTCCCCTTCGGGGGGGACGGCGGGGTCACCGGGATGGGGGGGAAAGGGTATTCCGACCCGGGGGTCCCGGGGTAAAATTTCAAAACGTTCCCCCACGCTTCCCCGACGGTTTTAGGGGAGAGGGTTTTTTTTTTTTTTTTTGTTCGGAAAACCGGGGGGGGTTGGGGGGGGGGGGGGTGAGAAGATTCACGCCACTCCTATTTATGATGATTCAAGGGTACAGTCGCTGGACCCGCCGACTGCCGACCATGCATGGCCGCACGTCGGTCGAGGCGCAGCAGTGCACCCACCACCTTGGATTCCTGACGTTTCACTTCGTACTCATTTGAGAGTCCGTTGTTTCGGGTGTCCCCTGTTTAAAAGGTTGCGGCAGGCGGGGTGGGTGTACTCATAATCGTGCATGCCGTGTTCGAAGGTTGCGGTGGGGGTGTGGCGAATAGTTGTTGTTAGCCGTGCACTTGAGCAAGGTGTCATGGGCAGTAAGTACTACGGTCTTCTTTTTGCCTCTCCCACAAGAGGTGCTGACGAGTCCACTCCGAGGAACGTGGCTACCCCCCCCCCCGCCGGGCGCGCCCCGATTGCCGCTGCGGCGTCCGCGATACCGCGGCCTAAGACATGTGCCGTTTTCAGGAGACTGGATTGCTTGCGCTTTTCCACGAAAGCTCTTTCCTCGAAAATATAACCACGGAAACCCGTGAAACAACTAAAAATATACAGGTCCTCTCTGGCGAGAACTGGAACGCCACCATGTACAGCGCGAGGCGCGCCGTTGGCTGGGTGAGCGTGTTCTACTTCGTGAGCCTCATCATCGTGGGGATGATGATCGTCATGAGCCTCTTCTTGGCCATCCTCCTCAGCCACTTCGCGACGCCTGAACAGGACGAAGCGGACGCCGAGGACAGGGAGCGCCGGCAGGAGAAAGAGAAGCTGGAGCGGCAGCAGCAGCAGCAGCAGCAGCAGCAGCAGGGTTTGGCGGGGGCTACACCGGCGAAGCACGAGGAGGGTAAAAACGGGGTAGGGATGAAGGGGGAGGAGGAGGAGGAGGAGGAGGAGGAGGAGGAGGAGGAGGAGGAGGAGGACGTGGCGGCGAGGAAAGAGGAAGCGGAAAGCAACGGCGCTGACGGCGGCAACAAAGGACCCCGGAAACAAGGCAGGTACACCTCTGAGCTGGACGAGTCCTTCCGCGGTGCCAACTCCTTTTTTGACAGTGACAGCCCGGGTACCGCCGCTCAGCGTGCTCTCCGGCGGGCCCACAGCGCTGCGTCGGCGGCGCCCTTTGGCTCCGTGGGAACAAGGGGGTTTCCGCACGCCACCGGAGTCATGGAGGAGGAGGAGCATGCACAGGAACACCACCTCACGAGCAGCAACAACAACAACAGCGACGCAAAGGTGGCAGGGAACTGGGACACCGACGAGAGCCCCGACAACCGGAGGGACGGAGTCGACGCCGACGCCGATGGCAACCACTTCGCCTCGGAGAGGGAGGAGAACGCCGGCTGCTTCTCCTGGAGCCGCCTGGGCGCGAGCGTCGCCGGGTACGCGGCCGGCGCCGTCCGCAGCGTCAAGGTGCCCGAGAACATCTACCCGGGGTTCGCCCTGTGCTGCCTCTCTGCGAAGAACCCGTTGAGGAGGGGCTGTGCCGCGGTCGTCAGCAACGCCGGCTTCTCCCGCCTCGTGACCCTCCTGATCGTGCTGAGCTCCCTCACGGTGGCGCTGGATACCCCGCTCCGGGACCCCGACTCGACGGCAGCGGAGGCCCTCTGGGCCCTCGAGCTTGCGCTGACGTTCCTGTTCGTCCTCGAGTGCGTGCTCAAGGTCTGCGCCTCCGGGTTCTTCTTCATGCCCCTGGCGTACCTGCGGGACGCGTGGAACGTGCTGGACTTCGGGGTGGTGATGGTCTCGGTCGTCCAGCTGTTTCTCATCCGCGGGGCCGGCTTGTCCGGCCTGCGGTCTCTTCGCGCGCTGAGAGCCCTCCGTCCTCTGAGGTGTGCTGGGGGTGGTTACTTAACACGAGTTGCTTTAACGTGGGTTTCTTGCGGCGTTTTTTTTTCGTGCGGGTCTTGGGGAGTTCGGTTCAGAGTTTCCTCAGGAAGACACGTCCGTTTGGTTCCATGAGAGAGACAGAGAGGGAGGGAGATGATAATTTTCCTGAGAGCCTTGGGATTCTACTAGTGCTTTCTCCGGGTTGAAAGAAATACCCTCGACCCTCGTGCGCTCCACCGCAGCATTTCATGCTGCCGATCGTGTCAACAACATCAACCGACCCCGGGCAGGGGGGCCGTTCTTTTCTCCGTAGACTAAGGGGGCAGCCGCACAGTTGGGCCTCCCTCCCCTCTCTCCCCACAACCCCCGCCGCTGGTTGATGTTGCACAACGCTCCCCGCTCGCCTCCTAACGGCGTCTTCCTTCGGCCTGGTTTTTCTCCTCCTCGTCCCCGCCTTTTTCGCAGGATCGTCAAGCGGTTTCCCGGGCTTAAGATCGTCCTCGAGGCCCTCATCGGGTCCGTCCAGGGCGTGTTCAACGTGGCGGCGGTGTGCTTCCTCTTCTACATCATCTTCGCCATCCTGTGCGTGAACTACTTCAAGGGCCTCCTCATGTCCTGCCAAGGGGACGCCTTCGACGCCCTCCCCGGGGAGGTGGTGTCCTTCCTCGAGGACCCGCTGCCCTGGTCCGAGATGTCGTCCGGGCAGCGGGAGTGGTTCGGCCCCCTGAGCAACGTCTCGGAGGCGTTCTCGGGGGACGGCTTCAGCAGCAGCATCGGCGGTAACCTTTCGACCTCGAGGGTAGAGTACTGCGACGTGATCACCGGCGGCTTGTGGCCGGATGCGGCGGCCTGCTGCTCCGCGTGGCCGACGTCGGCTGAGGAAGCCCCGACTAGCTATGAGGTACCTGTTCTGTGAGCGGTGTTAGGCGCAGGGCAGACTATAGGTGTCAGCGTGGTGTATGTGTGCTCGGGAAGCCCTTCTTGGAGGTGCTGGACCGATTCAACGTGACCCCGTAGAAAGGTGGTTGATTGCCTTGGCCGCATCGCCTTACCCTGCAAGTACAGATAAATGGGCGTTTGCTCTCCTGAGCCAGCCCCGTAGTGCAGGTGTTCGATAAATCACGAGGTGGTGGCCTTTTTAGCGGGGACTTTGGTATCCTTCCTCTCCCCTGGGTGACGGGCATTACCACCTGCTTTCGGACGAATTTCGCCACTCGGTTTCTCCACGAATGGGAGGGGGCCCAATACCGGACGATAGGTCTGATGAACGAACCCTTCCCCGCAGCAAGATATTGCCAGACCATTCATGTACGGGGGATCAAACGATTTCCTGCCGGGGCAGAAAACGTTTCGCAACCAATACCTGCCGAAGAGCGTTTGTCGACGGGGGTGGGCGGACTGTTCCTATGAGACATGATGGCACTCGAAAGATCGCGAGCGACAAGCTTTGATCCGGCCCCGGCCGCGTCGCAAAAGAAAAGGCAACGCTGTGACAAGTCTGACGGTAGAGACTCATCACGCACCAATCAACGGTACACACCGTTGCGGGTACACCACGAAGAAAGAGATTTGGTTGCCTCGCACGCCGCCTGTTTCCTTCTTGCTACAGGTCTGCGAGTGCCTCGGACTGTCGTGGGCGGAGACCATCCCGCAGCAGTTCGACAACGTCGCCGTGTCCCTCCTGACCCTGTTCGAGATCTCCACGACCGAAGCGTGGACGTCGGTGACGTACGCGGCGGTGGACGCGACGGGGGTGGGCATGCAGCCGATCCGAGACCACGTGATAGCAAGGGTGTGGCTCTTCATCCTCTTCATGCTGCTGGGCGCGTACCTCGTCATGAACCTCTTCGTGGGGGTTATCGTCGACAACTTCAAGAAGGTGGTGGCAGCGTGTGCCGTGTTTAGGAACTCGAAGCGCCAGAAACCAAAATAAACAGCGCGTGGTGTCTCGTGTGTGTTCCGCGTCGTTTTTTTTTTTTTTTAGGTCCCTCTGTCTCATTCTCTCCCTCGCCCTCTCTGCCTCATGCGTCTTGCGTGTGTGTGTCTGTGTGCTTGTCTCGCGAGAGCACACGACCGACAAAGCCCACACCGCCCATTCTCTCAGCTTGTTGCCCCGCTCCGCATCCGCGCCCGCCACCCTCACCCCCTCCTCTTGAAAAAGCTCCTCCCTCTTGGCCGTCCTGCACACAACTCCTCCGTCTGACCGTATCTCTGACGTTGCAACTTTTTCATTGCCGCTAGATGAAAGCGCGGGCGGAGGAGGGCGGCCTGCTGGTGACGGAACACCAGCGCCTGTGGATCAAGACGCAGCTGATCATGCGCCGCCTAAGGCCGATGAAGCGCCCGCAGCCCCCTCCAGGCCGCCTCGGATCGTCATGCTTCCGGCTGATAAACTTGCCGTGGTTCGACCCGGCGGTGATGGTATGCATCGTCCTGAACACGGTCGTCTTGGCCATGGACTACTTCGGCCAGAGCAACCTGTACACAAGGTATCGAAGCGCGCGGTAGATTGTTTGGCTGTCTTTCAGTCTTGTCGTTTTTTTTTTTTTTTTTTTTTGGCAATAAAAAATTTCGTGTGTAACTTAATAACTGCTGTTGCAGTGTGCGGGAGCGGGTCTTGACAGTGTTGCCTTTTGTTTGTTTCGTTCGTCTCTACATTAGTTGAGCCCTTGTGCCAGCAGTCCTGCGTGGATGGATACACAGGCGCGCGCCAGGCGCTGTGATTGGGGAGTGTCGTCAATAAACACCCCTGGCCGACCAATGACTTCGTTCATTCTTATTCCCTAGTAGCGCCGCCTAGACGTCCTGTTTGTACATTGCAAGCTCAGGCTTGATTGGTAGGGTTTGGGCCGCGCGCGTTCGGCGGCAATTTCGAGCGCGACCTCGGTAAGTTGGGTGCAGCTTTGTGAAGACCCGCCTTCGCAGTTTCGTTGGCCTTTCATCCTTTTTGGAAAAGCTTGGTGAGGCAAAAGAGCATGCCGGCCAGGATTGCGCACCGGAGGTGTAAATGTGTTGTGACGAGCGAGCCTTTTCCTTGGCGCGCCGATCGGTAATGTGTCCCATGTGTATTTTGGCTGTTTGCTGTTGTTTTGATACGCAGGGTGCGGGTAAGCGGGCAGACAGGCCAGCATTCTCACTGTGGAAATGTTCTCGATATGTAGCAACACCCCCCTCCCCCTCTCCAACAACAACCCACCCCGTCCTCCCACCCGGTATGATGTGTTGGACACCTCGCAACGCCTGTTACCGCTGTTCTGTTTGCTGCTCCGTCCCTCAGCGTCCTGGAGTTATTACTCTACGTGTTATACGCCCTGTTCACCTTGGAGGCTCTCGCGAAGGTGCGGGGATAGACCGAACGGCGATGCATACGTGTTGTTATTGCGCAAGGGGGGGAAGAGGAGGGGTCAAGAGTGTAACGTGTTGGCTGGTTCCGCTCATCCTCCTCTAGTTATACGTATCCATCGCCGAGAGACATCTCAGTGATGGGGCGATCAGATATCAGAACCCTCCCACACTCTTTATTTCATCGCACCACCACCGACCCGAAACGCCTGCCTACTCCCCATCTCGTCAGATCCTAGCGCTCCGGTGGGCGTACTTCAAAGACCCGTGGAACCGGTTCGATTTCTTCATCGTGCTCGGCAGCACTGCGGGCTTACTGTCGCTCTTGTTTCTCGACTCAAACTACGGGACCGTCATCACCGTGATCCGCACCTTCAGGGTAGGCCGCGTTCTCCGGCTCGTTCGGGGCATGGGGTCGATGTCCCAGCTGTTCCAGACGCTGCTCATGACGCTGCCCAGCATGGGCAACGTGGGGGCTCTGCTCTTCTTGCTCTTCTTCATCTTTGCGGCCATGGGGGTTCAGCTCTACGCCAAGGTTTGCTTGCGTGTGTGTGAGAGAGAGAAGGAGTGGCGAAGGAGGAGAGCGGGGCAGCGAGCCGTTCCCACGAGGGAACCCGTGGTACCGGACCGGTCTTGAACGTGATTGAGTAGTTTTTGCGGATTGAGTCCTTTCAGCTGCTTCCGCTGCTGTGATTTTGGCTGGGAGAGAGAGAGAGAGAGAGGAGGAGGAAGCGCCCTCTCCATGTCTGTTCCTTGTCGTGGTTGTTTTCGTGCGCGGCCGGTTCTGCACAGGTGCGCGCCAACACCAGCGCAACAACATGCTGCTCGAGTTGAAAACACCTAGGTGCACGAGGGGCGAGGGCACGAGGGTCAAACAACGTCGGTAGGTAGGTGGGTGGGTGGCCTGGCTAGCCTGTTGGTGCACAGCAGTCTGTGGCCCCCGACGTTCACTTCCCCACTCCCCCCCTTTTGCCCGCGTCCATCACCACAAAAAAAAAAATGAATAAATTACCACCAGGTGGGACTCGAGGGGGCCCTGAACGCGCAGGCCAACTTCCGCTCATTCTGGGACACGATGGTCTTGCTGCTGCGGTTTAGCACGGGCGAGAACTGGAACGGCTTCATGTACGACGTAGCTGCGGAGAGGGACGGGTGCCGGTCTGATCCCGAGTACGACCCCGACGTCTGCGGGTTCACGAGCCACGATAACTGCATCCCGATTGACGGGTGCGGCAGCTGGACCATCTACCCGTACATGATCAGGTGCGTATGTGTGTGTAATATTTGTCCGCGAAAGAGGCACGTTTGTACCGGTGTGTTGTGCCTGTAGGAGTTCAAGTGAGTACTGGCTGGCGCCTTTGTAGTTGTTGTTGCGGTACAGCGCACGGCTTTTTTTCTTGTACACAGAGAGAGTACGGGATGTCCGTGAAAGCCTTTCGTACGGGCCAGAACGTGTGGTTGTGAGTGGAACTTGGCAACCACCACCCCAGTAATAACAACGCAACAACAACAGCTGCATCCTCGAAGTGTAGTACCGCGAAGGGGCACGGCCTGGTCTCCTGTGGCAGTGGGGACGGCCACCTCTTTTGTCGCTCGTGTCACTTTCACCGCCATGTTAAGGTACACACGGACTTTGTGCAAGAATGGATACCGTTGGCCTGACCCGGCCCTGCTAATCCCGTTCTACCCCTCCTCAACCAGCCAACACCTGTGCGCAGTTGTGTAGATGGTTCCCCGCAAGATACACCACCTTTTGCATCAGGCCCACTCCCACACACCCCGCGGGGCCTCACGGCTGCGCGCGCGTCGGTGCGTGTCGTCGCCCCCCCCCCTTCCCGCTTTCCGTCAGCTTCACGTTTTTGATTACCTTCGTGTTCCTGAACCTGTTCATCGGAGTGATCCTGGACGGCTTCGACAGCGCGAAGGAGGAGTCGGATGACTTCATCACGGAGGAGGACTTGACGAGGTTCGCGGAGCATTGGTCCAACTTCGACCCCCACGCGACCTGTCTCATGTCCGTGCAGGTGGGCCGTCTGTCGTTGCTTTGTTGCCCCTGGTGCTGGCATGTTGTTGTTGTCGTTGTTGTGGTGGTGGTGGTGGTTGTTGTTGTTGTTGTTGTTGTTGTTGTTGTTGTGGTGGTGGTGGTGTGTGTGTGCTCTCGTTGTGGTGGTGGTGGTGGTCTGGTGACGCGGTGGTGGGCATAAGCGGTATTGGTGTAGAATTTTGTTTCGGCTTTTTAAAGTATCCCGCCTCTCTCAAGCGGGTAGTACTTGCCGCATTTTTTTTTCAACTACCGTTACAGTTAGCGGCTACTGTTTAAGAGAGGGAGGTGACAAACTCTTATTTTTCTCTTTAATCGGGCTTTCTCTAATACCGTGTTGGCTACGGTTTAAGAGAATATTCTCTTGAACCGTGAACATGTTCTTGAGAGAATTACTCTTAAACCATAGCATTTTGAAGGCCATGGAAGATGGCCGCTATCGTTTCAACCAGCTAAAACGTGTTTGTGGACGGCATACCACTCATGTTACATCACGTCGTCACCTTGTGCTAGCTCCACACATGCTCAACCTGTGTGTTGTAAGTTAATCATGGTGTCGTGTGATACAAGTTAAGACTCCACTTCCTGTCAGCTCCAGAGGCTGGCACACCACTAGAAGCCTTCTATGTGACCACCTCGCTAGTTGTCTCTGCGATACTCTCTCTCTGGCACGCTAAGACTCTGTGGACACAAGGCTTGGACAGAATGGTAACATATGCGACTCCTCCTCTCGACCGAGGGGGGCCCGCAGTACGCAATGCGTTCCGGGTACCCCAATATAAACAGTATGGCAATTCGAGTTGTTTCAATAAACCTCGGTTTGTTTTGTCTACGCCTTTGTCTACGCCTTAAACAAACCTGTCCTTGTAAGTTAATCATGGTGTCGTGTGATACAATTTCCGCTGTACGTAGTTCATGGGTGGTTTTTGAAGTTTGGTGGACCTGGCGTGTGATCGGCGACCGCTGTGCAGTGGGTGCCTGCTGGGCAGGGCATGGTGTGACGGCTTGGTGGCTCTTTTTCAGAGGTTCAATTTAAGGGAATATCTCAGGAATATGAAAAATTATCTCTTATATCGATTTTGGTCCTGACAAGCCAGTTTGACTCTTCTTAAATCGGTACTTTCTATTAAATATTTTCTCTTAAACCGTTTTCGCTACTGTACTCTTGTGCCCAACGACTGCGTTGTCAGACGGGTGCAGGTATGGCACGAAGTTGCTTTTCCCGCCAATTTGGAACGATCCGAACAAATCCCTTGGGCTCCTGACGTATGGCGAACAGATTGAACAGACAGACAAACGGAGACACGATGGTGAGGACGGCGTGGCTGACAGGAGAGCGCCTCGAATGGGTTTTTGTCGGTTTCCCTAGTTCAACCTATTTTCGGATCTAGGTACGCCGATTGCCAAGACCACACACAACCTCGACATCACGTGCGTTTCCCACGTGCGTTTCCCACGAACGGTGCAGACACGCGTGCTACTGTTTTACGCTAACGGAATCTTGGTTATTTGTGTGTGTTTTTTGTTCGTTTGTCTCTCCCGAAACCGACGCACAGGACCTGCACTCATTTTTGCAGTCGCTGTTCAAGCCGTGGGGTTTCGGGGTGCACTACCAGGCCAGCAGCAGAGAGCTACGGCACAAGGTCAGGCGGTTGGATTTGTTCGTCTTCGACAACAACAAGGTTCACTTCAAGGTGCGGCGGTTATCGTGCAAAGGTAGATAAACCGAAGAACGAGAGGATTAATTAACACACAAGATGTTGCCGTCTCAATTCTTCACACCTAGTAGTGGTTCGATTTATTTCTGTGTCGTTTTTGCTGAACAGCTGTGAGTACAATATTGGTCTTCAACTTGTAGACCCCACACCAGACAATTTGTGGTGCCTGCCTGTCTATTTGTACCTCTGTCCGACGCAGTACATTGTACACTCTGGGACAAGGCTGTGACTCATTGGCGGGTGGTCGTGTGCTGGCTAACAGTGCCGTGGGGTCACGCAAACATAAAGTGTAAATGCATGGTGTATAGGAAGGTAGGAGTGGTGCGCGCGTGGATGGTATGAACTCGCGCCAATGTGCAATGCAGTTGATGAGCGTGGCAGTAGTTTGGTGCTGCGCTCCGCCCGGTGCCGCAGGCAAGCGGCGTGTGAAGTGGCGACTGCTTTTTGTTTCGCGGGGCATCAGCCGGCGCCTCGGTAGGCTTTGTTCCTTCCAGGAGACTAGCAACACGACGAGGGGTCGGTTGTGAAACCGCGGAATGGAAGAGCCGCCGCCACTGTCATATGAACCCCCCGAACACGCTCTGGACAGCAGCAGTAGTGGTTCGGGTGGTTTCGGTCCGGGACCTAGTGCTCAGCTGCAAGCTGCAAGGTGCTCGCTCTTGTCCACGAAAAAGTAGCTTTTGTAGGCGTTGATGATCTAAGGAGAGGCACTGCGACAAGGGTTGCAAAATCAAGGCGATTGGAACACGCCGCCGTAAGAGCAACGGAAACCCCTTTGACGAAGAACGGATTTGGTGTGTGTTCTTGTGATCGGTGGAGAGGGCTTGAAAGAGGTTGGTGCGAAACTGGCATTTTTGCTCTTTGGGCAACCGCCCAATGCCTCTGGTACTCTCAGGAGACGGCGGCATACGTGATGTCAGCGAAGCCAAAGGAGGAGCTCGGAACTCCGCTCCCCCCCCCACCAGCACCACCACCACACGCCTCCCTCGCTGCGTCCGCTCCTTTCTCTCGTTGCCAGGACGTGCTCCATGCTCTATCCGAGGAGGTGTTTCGCACCGAGGCGGAGAAGAAAGGCGAGGTTTTGGATTACCTGCAAGGCTCGAAGCGTCACCAATTGAAAAAGGCAAGAGGTTAAAGAAACAAACAAACGGGGGGGGGGCACGGCAGAATGGAAAAAAGCAAAGCAGGGTGACACGAAAACGGCGCGTTTTATGTGTCTTGTCTTGTGCTGTGCTTGTATGAATGTAGTTATACCCATCGTGGAGCCAATCAATCGGCGCTTTTCGCATTCCGAGGGGGTAGAGGGGGGGTGGGGGGGTGGAGGAGGCCCCTGCTTGTCTGCTACTGCTGGTGGCGCTGGCTTTATAGGATGTTCGTATTGGTGTGGTGAAGGTCTCTGCTTCTGTTGCCGCCGCTGCTGCTGCTAAGACACACCTCTCACCGAGCCGGAAAACGAAAGCAGATGTCGGAGATCACGAGCATCAATGCAAAACAGCAGTGCGTTTTACACTTGAGCGCAGGTGCAAAGAACGAGCTTCTTGCCTGTGGTCCGAGTGTTTCTTGGACAGTGTGTCTCGTGTCACTCTTGTTTCCACCGTGGAATTCTGTCGTTGGAAAAATTGTGCCACAAAGCCCCGTCCCCCCACCCTTTTGTAGCTGGCGCCGGGTCACAATGTTGCGAGCGTAAGTACTGCGACGGCGGGGTACCCCCAACACGAATTCCCCATGTACTTTCGCGAACAAACGGTTGTCTCTATGCAGCAGTAGCGAAACCAAACAACAGCCAACAACATTATGATGCCCAGGCGGCGTTGTCCTGGTCCAGAGGTGGTGCCCAGCTAAACCGTGCTTAGGGCGATGGCTTGGGTCGCCACGAGTGCTCCCAGCCTTTCTGTTCCGCTCCGCTGTCGTCCATATACGTTCATGTTAGCTGGATACGCTCCGGACACGAGAAGAGCGCGGTTTTTCGTCGCTTTCTGAGGCCTGGTCTTCCCCGTAAAAATCATCTTTAAATCTCACGAGCGTTCATGTAACACGAAAGAGGTTCTGCA